CATTCAATAGCCCACTGCTGGATACCGACAATACGGCCACGGATACGGGCGGGTGCTAATTCGGCGAGATAAACGCAGACCTGTGAGGATGTAATACCGACTAGAGTATCGTTCAGTATATCATGATGCCAGAAAGATAGCTGAGGACCGTACCGGACAAACCGCTGATCACTCTCCCGGCAACTAGGTGAGCGACGTTTTGGGCACTGCACTGAATGGCAGCACCAATGACCCAGATGCAACACGCCAGCATGAGGGAGTAGCGACGACCAATTCGGTCTGATATGAAGCCGGCAGCGAGAGCACCGGCAAAGGAGCCAGCAGACATGGAAGCGGTGATCTAGAAAAGATCCGATTATCATCAGTCATTTGTGTCCATTTTAACGCTTTGAAGGGCTTGGTCACTTACACCACCCTGCAAGTCGGAATCAGGAGAGTTGAAGTATTCCAGATACTGATCCGTGCCAATCCAGGCACTCATGGAACTGACATCGAAGCCGAACAAGGCACCGCCGATGGTGCCGAAGGCAGCCAGCACTGGGTATCTCCGTTAGCTTGAGCCGGACGGTCACTGTTAGGAGCCCAGTCTTACCGTAAATATTCGAAATGGTATACATGATGTCCAACGGTCTCACCGAGCTGTTCACGACGAGTGGACTGCAACCGGGCAAGAATGCGGAGAAGCAACCCGGGACCCGGGCCACATTTATAGAGAGGAAACTTAGGAAGTACTAGCTGCCGAAGCTGCATCGCGCCGGTACGGCTTCAACGGCATGGCGTCACGGACGGACTGGTGATGCAGTGGGTGGTGCGAGACACGCATGGCCGATAAACCCCGAAAACGGGAAGGATCGCCGGGGCCTATAATGCGGAGGTCCGGGGATTCAGAATGGAGCACGAATCAGAGGATCCGGGGACGGATGGGGGTCTGCCTCCCGAGTGGAGGGCCTCACGGCCCCGGATCCAGTCGGTTGATTCTGCGACGGAGATTTTCCCTCTTTGTGCCTGCCGTCCGGCTGAATGCCATTTTAACCGAGTTCGGGTGAATTGACTCTGCCTGGGAACTCAAGGGCCCATTTCTGGAGTCCCCATGCGGAGTAATTATTATCACCCATGACCTCTCCAGGAGGCCTAGTCTACTACTAGCTCTCGTCATTGCATCCTGTCTGTCTCGGTAAGGCCTCGCTTGAGAATGATGGCATGTGCATCCGACAACCCAACACCTCGCCATCTATGGGTTCTCCAGATAGTGCCGAAAAGGAAGGCTGAACGTATTCTCCACTCGGCCACCTTGACGCATAGTATATTAAGCAGAATGGAGCTCGGTTCTCCGGTCTTGTCCAATTTAAGAAGTGCAATGTGATGGTTGCTAGCAACACAAACACACGTGTATACCTCATGGCCCCAACTGTAGCTTCCTCTATCGCTCATTCGCCCGTCATCAATATCATCCATAGTACCCTACGTGATCTCGTTGGGCCACCCCTAACGGGGGATCTCTGAAAGTTGTATAGCACGCTCTGCAGGACACGAGGTTTAGACACTATCAAAGTGGCTGCCTGGGTGTGGCTGCACTAACCGATTAGCCCAGTCCATGGCTTCGGCTACTTTGCACTTATGACCTCTGATCACCTGGGAGGCGCTCCATGGCCAATGGGGAATATCCTGGCGCAGTCATTGTTTGGTCATAGCTTCCGACTGCATCTGATATCAAAACCTAACAGTCAGCGGAATCACCATGCAATTCCCGAAACGAATTCAATCATGGGCACCATGCGACATAAGAAGAATAAAGCGGAAAGCACCACTGGGTGACAAGAAATGATGGTAAAACTGAGCACATGAACAGTCTGGAAGGCACCTCTCCTGGAAGTATCTATCGGTGGAAACACTAATAGTTTAACTCCGCCAAAAACTTGCTAGGAGGTATCTACTGCTTCCTAATCAGCTTTCCAGACTACCTAAGAGAGGTAGCTTGAATCTTGTAAAGAACTGCTGTATCTTCAAAAGACTTCCAAAGCATGTCCTAACCCCCAGCAGCCAGTGATAATCAGCCTACAGGCCAGGGTGATGCTCTTCTGAGTATGATTGCAGCTCTAATTCTTGGCCTACCCTCGTATTCATCTCTAAGCGAAGCTTGGAAAGTGCCTGCGTGCGTCTACTGCTCATGCGACAAATAAGGGAACGTGAGATGGTACCAGATGATCCCAACTGCCTCCTGCTCCTGTGATAAAAAGAGCTCCTGCGCATTGGGGAGCAATGCCGCCATTATGGAGCCAGAAAAAGTCGTATATGCTATGAGCATTGCATTATAGACGAGCGCTCGCACATGCAGGCAATTATGTTGCTGGAAGTGTTTGCTATAGACGTTGCAGCATGCTTGTCGCGATCAAAATTGGCAGTCTTACAGATTGTCATTGGAAGTGCAATTCAAAATCTACCTGGCAATTCAATCAGCAGTGGCGAGTCGCTTATATGCCTAAATTGCGATCCTTCTCTGCACTAGTGGTTCCTCACTCCGACAATTTATTGGCTGCGCAGACCTCGGGGGACTCAAAATGCCCCGGAGAGTCACTGGAACGGTCTAAGCATCCCAATGGAACTAACTTGTGCGATACAATTCCCTCTTCAACAGCTGATTTTATGGCACACTCTGCCAGTAGCCTAACCGATGCAGTATACACTGCATGACGACCTTTGTACAAGGAATGCTTCCGATCGCTTATAAAGCAGTTCTCCATTAACTAGCTCCATGTCTCGGAGCATGATCTGAGCGCCAATATCACCGGTGGGGAATGTGGAGGACGGAGACCCTGATTCCCAGTTCAGGAGTGGTCTAATGACTCACCACCGCTTATGAAGCTCCAGCCAAAGTGGCCCCGTTCGCGGAATTGATGCGTGCATTTGGGAGTCTACGCTCATCGTGAATCAGACTCTGAAGATTACATGATCAGTCTGGTACTGACTTTGCTTTCTCGTCCAAGATGTGAGTTCCCTGCCTCTCCCACATTGGAAATGTCTAGAGGACGCTCAAGGTCCAATACGACAATATCATTACTATGCTGATTTAGTCCGATCATGCTAGAACAACTTATTTACATGAATTTTCTTCTTCAGTTCATTTTATGTCACGGCGATAACGGCTCTTTGCCCTACCTTTGCTTCATGTGTTTGCGGTAGATGAAACGTTCTTTGGGCGTCCTTACTCATCGGCTAAAAGGTTGCTCATACACAATGTTTATGCGCAATGAAAGAAACAAAACAATAGCTACCGGGTGACCTTCATCCTTTCGCAGGCGGAAATTGGTCAGGGTCTCCGCGCAAGGGGTGGTTCGTGACTACAATGACATGTCCGGGATAACTGAAGGCACCAAAGCAGCGATGATTAAGTGCAAGCAGTGGCGACACTATCTGGTGGGATCAATATGAGAGAGCATATTGCAGTTCATCTCAATGCGGTTCTAGCCGATGTCGAGGACGAGTGTCAGTCTCGACTCTCAATCAGGTCAGTAGCCACAATCTAATAATGGGGGGTTCCAGGTTCGAGTCGAGACGCAAGGGACAACGCTTTCGGCCGCAGGTATTGCACCTTCGAGCATTGCCTCAGAAGATCTGACTACGATGTCCGGCTTCTCTGTCAGTCCTGGAATATTCAGTGACCGCTAAACTGGCGGTGAGCTGAAGCCAAATCTGATACAGCTGCCAAGGTAGATGCAGGAGACATCACCCTTCCGAGACCTTTCGAGAACACTGCCCCGGGGCGAGAGGAGAAGAAAAAAGGTTTCACGGCCGTTATACCTTTAATCCTTTTGGCCCTGAGTGTTGGAAATGGCAGACGACTGTGAATCCGAGCAATGCGACCGTATACAGTGCAGGGGGTCCCAGGTCATGTTTGGAGGGCTCGTCTACAAGACAAACGCATCAGGGGGGTTAGAGGACGGAAAAAACAGCTAACTGAGGGATTAAGCTCTCCATGCAAGATCATCAATCCTCGATCGGTTATGCACGTGTTGCATGGCCAGCGAGGTTGCAATGGCAGGTAGGATATGGCAGCCACTGAGGTTATTATTGTGATTGCCTTGCGGGCCAGCGCCCGATCGGCGACTCACCCACCACTGACGGCCAACTGACTCTGTACCACAAGACTACGAGAGTTTACTGTCAACTCACTCTAGACTACCTTAGAAGGCAAGCAGGCGTGCCCTTACTTCCGTGGCTACCCGAGTTGCTCATCGCGTGCCGGTCTGACACCACTTCCGAGGATGTTTGCGATGAGCCAATGGCCCGTCCCAGGTAGCTGGATGCAGGCGGCGCAGCAACAGCTCTGCAGGCCGCGAAGGCTAAATCGATAGCTTAATCCACATCCCCTCAGAGGAGCCGAAGAAGCCAAGCTCTATTAATCTCTTGCTGCAGCCCTGATTGGTCTTCCGGTCTACGCGTCAGATTACCCCAACTGGAGAGAGATAACAACCAAAGTGTCTATCTACCGCTGCCAGAGATAACCATTCCTCGCTCAAACACCGATAGCGGATGTCTTGACCCCTGACGACAGGTTGATCTCCGCTCTTCTTCTTCGGTCTTCATGTACTCCGCACTGTTGGTTAGTTCTGGAACAGCCCGGCCTTTCCCCCGCTGTCTCAGCTACCAGGTCGGTTGCCCATTGTGTTACCGCCGATCCCGGCGTCCAGCATGTAAGGGATATGGGACACGTCGGGGGCAGCCTTTCCATGCTCCAACCACGCGATTATGACATGCGGTGGTCATCTATTGGGAAACTGACCGTTTCGGGCCTTCGCCCGCATTGGCTGTACCACACATCGTGCCCTCCGCCCCAAGCCTTTCGAAGTCTATAATGTAACCCTTTCGACTGAGAGAGTCCATGAGGCGCACTCCGAGAGGTTTCATTTGCGGTAACTCGAGGACGACGATAACATGCCACGCCTAATTGTCCAGATGGATCTGGAGGATGCATATCAGCTGATGGCACAGATCGTGTGGTTCTGATAACGACCCACGGTTTCAACGCTACGATTGGCAGCCGGGGCTTTGGTTATCAGCGATACTACTCCAAGCTCATGGCGTCAGCTATACTTCCAGAAGGTTTCTGCGCCTGTGTCAGTTCGTCCGCTGCAAGATACTAATAAAAGTATGCGGCACGCACGATACGACTGGGACAGGGGTGTTATCTTTATCTCCGCCTGATACTCGCCAAGCCCACTAATGGCCTGATAGAGGCCTCTTATCTGGCAAGTATATCGGTCGCTGCGACATGCAAGTGTGATTGGGAGGGAGACGTAGGCTCTTGCCTTGTGTTGCACAGCTGTGGTGGCGGTGTTATAATCATCCCGGTACCCCCGGCTGGGGTTGACGAGGCTTGCTGATTCCTGTTCCTTCATCATCTTTAATATTGGTCATTCTTCTTCCCCCTATTGTATCGACCATTTCTTCACGATGGCCGATCACTCTACCATGGCGGCCTACGAAACGTCGAGTAATCGGAGCCCTCAGGATGCTGAGAAGAAAGGCGAGCCCATGGAGCGCTGGGCATCCGTGGATGTTGACTATGGTGCCGAAACTGATCTCAAGCGGAGCCTGTCTACGCGGCATTTGACCATGATTGCGCTGGGGTCATCGATTGGTATGGGGTTATGGCTGGGAAGTGGTGAATCACTGGCGAATGGTGGTCCGGCAGCCATCTTCATTGGCTACCTGCTGAGTGGCACGATGATTTGGTCCGTCAGCCACTCGATCGGTGAGATGGCCGTTATGTATCCTCTGCCGTCTGCATTCACCCAATGGACGGAGATCTTCATTGACAGATCGGCGGCCTTTGCGCTGGGCTGGGCGTATTGGTTCTCTTACTTTATTACGATCGCAAACGAACTCCAGGTAGGACTCCGGATCCAGGTGGCTAGGAGTTGTGTGCTAACTGCTTAGGGTATCGTCACGGTCCTGAATTTTTGGACGGACAAGGTACCAACTGCGGCCTGGATTACAATCTTCTGGGTGGTGATTATCTTCATAAACGTCTTTGCGGTCCGGTTCTTTGGCGAGGTAGAGGTCATCGCCTCCTCTATCAAGTTCGGATGGATCTTTGTGGTCATTATTTCTCTCATCGGTTAGTCACATACGCATGCTCTCTCTTCTCACCTAGCCCTCCAACTGACGCATACCCATCTCGTGTTTAACAGTGGTTTCGGCCGGCGGCGCTCCCGACGAAGGACCGATCGGCTTCCGTTACTGGAACTCAATGCCATTCACCAACGGCTTCAAAGGCTTCCTGTCTGTCATGCCCACCTGTATTTTCGCCATGTCCGGATCGGAGAACTCGGCGCTGGTTGCAGCGGAGACCGACAATCCGCGCAAGGCGGTGCCACGCGCCGTGAGCTCGATCTGGTTGCGCCTGTCGCTGTTCTACGTCCTGGGCTCGTTGATGATCACCATCACGGTGTCACCGAAAGACCCCAATCTTTTTGGCGGTAGCGGCGTCAACGCATCGCCGTTTGTCATCGCCTATCGCAACGCAGGCCTTGCTCCGTTGGCACACATTATGAACGCAGTGATCTTCATCTCTGTGCTGTCCACCGGAAGTATTTCGGCCTATGGTGGCTCACGAACACTGATGGGATTGACGCATCTCAAGCTCGCGCCGAAGGTTGGTCTCCCTGTGGCCCTTGACTATCCAATTTATCAACTACTTGTCTCTTCTGATCTCCTCAACTAACTCCTCTGCCTACAAACCTAGATCTTCGGCAAAGCCGACAAAGCCGGTCGCCCCGTCGCCGGACTCGTCATCACGCTCGTCATCGGCGGTGGCCTAGCCTATCTGAACGTGAGCAACAAGGGTTCAACGGTCTTCACCTGGTTCTCGAACCTGACCTCCCTCTTCACGCTCTTCGGATGGGGCACCATCTGCCTCTCGCATCTCCGCATGCGCTACGCCTGGAAGATCCAAGGCCGCTCCGTCGACGACCTCCCCTGGCGGTCCTGGACCTACCCCTACGGCGCCATCTGGGGCTTAACCTGGTGCATTTTGCTCATCATCGCCGAGTTCTATCTCAGTTTGTGGCCACTGGGCGGCAACCCCACGGCCAAGGGCTTCTTCGCCAACTATGTATCGGTGGTGGCGATCGTGGTGCTGTACATCGGGGCGCGCTGCTACTACCGTGGACGGTGGTGGGTGGATGCGAGCACGATCGATCTCGATGGTCCTCGTCGGTTCTATGCCGAGGTCGCGGATGTTGAGGCAAGGCCGGCTAAGACGGGGGTGAAGAAGTATGCCTCGATGGTGGTGTCTGCTGTTTTAGAGTAGATGATGCTGCTACGAAGTAGTGTATGTAGGTAACTCTTTTCTGTAGGGTATATGGTAGGTTAGGTTAGGCGTATATATTGGTGGGTTGGTCAATGTATATTGTTGTATCTAAGTCTCTTTGGTCGTGCACGAGTTGTACTTTACTCCATTACTTTCGGTTATTGGGTCGCAATAGATGTCTTTTGGGGCTTGATACCACTATTAAGTAAGTAGTACTTCCAGAGGCAGGATATTCAAGGGGAATGAATCAAGTACTAGTCAATACTTACTGATTACTACTACAGTATGTTACGAATATAAGCAGGATCATAATGATGGTGAGATTAAACTACGTACTATTAAGGACAGCAAGAATAATCTAAAGATATATAATCGGGAACGCGGTATCCAGCTACAACGGAGTGACCAGCTCGCATTAGACAATGAATACTATGCTACTCCTGCTTATTAGTTTTTAATCGAAGCAGTTCCTTTTTATTAGCATAATTGCCCTGGGTCGTCATGGCATAACAGGAAAGAATCCCTCATAATTTGCCCCGCCCCCTGGCAAGGATCATGATTCCCACCGCCCAAGACATACCCCGCCGCTTTTCCCCCTTCCATCTTCATGACCGGGTGTTTGTGGATGCTTTTAACTGGGCGATTATGGGATATCATCGACTGTGAAGTGAGAAGAAGATGCAGCTGGTGGATGCGACCGTGAAAAGATGGTTGTGTGAGCCGCGGGTGGTGAGGGTGACTCGGAGTGGGAAGAGAGTTGTCGAGTCGAGATTACGGTGTCGCGTGCGCATTTGCACTAAGGGGACTTAATTCGCAATCTGGCGAGAATTGAACCTCGAATCGAGAGATGAAGGCCAATTCTAGTTCGATTTGACAGAAGCCACACGCCTCATCGTCGACTGCTCAGAAAGTCCAAAGTCGAGCACACCACCGATTTAGTGCCTTGATGCCTCAGGTATGATTTGGGTATCTCGAGTGCGATCGCAAGGCAAAACCGGATTATGGATTATGAAAAGCCTCGTCTGTTTTCAGCAAGGTGGATGCCCCAAGTGAGCTGATCCCATTGAAGATGACAAGGCGAGCCAGCTGTTCACTCGATTAGGCCGCACTCAGAGAGGTTGGACCAGTTGGACTAGTTGGGCCTGATCGGGTTGTCCATCGCCTCCATTCTATCGTCAGCCTGAGGCAGCGGCAACCGCGATAGACTCAGGGTTTATTCTCGCATCACATGTTGGTCAGCAGCGAGGAGGAGCATCTCTTCGAGTGAGTCACAGGAGAGAACCGGAGGAATGACGTTAGATGTACTCCGCACCGCATTCCACAGGCTGTATCTAGTCTATCTGGTGCCTGGAGCAAGAAAAAGCCAGGCAAAAGAGGAGAACACGAAGGTCGAAGATGGCCCGCAGGCGGAGAGAGACCCATCATAAGTATAAGCCGGAGGAATAATCAGAAATGCAGGGAAGAATTGATTTGGGAAAGTCGGACGAGGCGACAGCTCAAAGTGGCTCAGTGGATGAGTTGGCCGGGGAACTGATAGGCTGCCGATGCGCCAGATCAGCAACTAGTCTGCAGTTACCCTATTCTCTATCTCGACTGGTTCCATTGCAGCCCTGCAGCTTGACCTGCTGGCTGTCAATCTACCGCATCACGATAGTAGCATCCCCTCCCAATCGACATGGATGCCTGCCCCTTGGCCAGGGCGTCCCCTGGTCTCCATACTGCTTCTTCGTTGTTTCATGTTTCGTGTTTCAGCAAGGTCGATTCGCGACACTTGGATCATGTCTCTTCAGGACACCAGCCATCATTCCCCCAGATCAGCTCCACCCGAACAAGCTCGTCCCCGATGACAGGATGCTTTGCCTGGCCGTTGGGCTGCACAAGTGGCGGTGAATGGCTTCACTTTTCGTCCAAACCCGGAAACGACCAACCATGGCTGGCTTCCGGCCACACACTACCTGTCGCCCCGTCATAGGCAGTCCGGAAAGAATGGTGTCTGACTGAACTTCCCTTCTATGACTGCCGGACTGCTTCACTTCCACTTCTCGGGGATTTCTGCTGCCCAGCCGACATGGCTGATAAATATGGCCATGAGGACGCTGGCTCCAGGAGATTTTCCAACACTGCAATCCCCCTCATGACCATCTGCTGCTTTACTCCCCTGTGAATGACCAAGTCTTTCATCTTCCATCCCTTCATGCTCCCGATTGTCGGGCCTCTCCTTGCACGACTGTTTGTCTATCCGTTTCGCAACAATATGGACTGCTCGATGACCCGGCCGTCATCGACATCGCGGTTCCCCTTCTTCCCCTTTTCGCTGTGGTCCTCCAAGCGACCGCAGCAATCTACCGCGTCGACACAGACTCCGGCGCAGACCTCGCCACGCATCATGGCACAATCATCCCAGACACAGATTCAGGCTCCTGCCCGATCAGAGCCCGAAACACAATCACAACGACAGCCCGAGAGTCTGCCTCGGACTCCGGTCCCTCCCCAGCCGACAGCAGAGGAACTGGCTGAGCGCGACCGTCAAAATCGTGAGACGGCCCGTGAAGAGGCAGTCCAGGAGCTGGACAGTCTGGTCGGCCACGACAACGTCAAACGCCAGCTGCACGGCGTCCAGACCTGGGTGCAGATTTGCCGTCGCCATGGGCGCGACCCGAAGAGCGAGTGGTACAACATCGCCTTCCTGGGGAATCCCGGCACAGGCAAGACCACCGTCGCCCGCATCTACGCCAAGATGCTGTACGCCATGGGAATCTGTGATTCCCATACCGTCTGTGAGACCACTGGCGCCGATCTGGCCAGCCGGGGTCCCGACGGAGTGCAGCAACTACTGCGCAACATGACGGACGCCAAAGCTCCGGTGCAAACAGCCGGAGTGCTCATCGTCGACCACCCCCACACCCTGATGGACGCGCCCCAGACCCCGGCCACCGAGCAGGCTCTCGAGGATATCCGGCACGCGATGGAGCGCAACATCGGTCGCATTATTGTCATCTTCACTGGCGATGCCGACGAGATGAACAGCTTCTTGCGCGAGAACCCCGCCCTCCAGCAACGGATCTGCAGCTCGCTGCGATTCAACGACTTTGACCGCCAGCAGTTGACGCAGCTGCTGGCCCGCCGCATCATCACCGAATATAACGGTCGCATGCAGGTCGAGGGGGGTCTCGAGGGCACCTACATGCAGGCTGCAGCTCGCCGGCTGGTCCGGGGGCGTGCCGCTAAGGGGTTCACCAACGCCCATGCCGTGCGCGAGATGGTCAAGAGCATTGCTCAGCGTCAGGCCCAGTGCTTGACCGACCAACAGGACAGCGGCATGGACGAGGTGGACTACTTCTTCTTTTCCAAGGACGATGTTCTCGGCCCTAGCCCGGCGGAGACCCGGTCGACCAGCGAAGCCTGGGAAGCCATGCAGAAGCTGATCGGTCAGGACGCCGTCAAGGCCTCGGTGGCTGAAGTTTTCGACACGACCGAGGAGAACTACTACCGCGAGATCCGCAACCAGCGTCGTCTGCCGCTGCGGGTCAATCGCATCTTTGCGGGGCCTCCAGGCACTGGCAAGAGCACGGCCATCCGGATGTACGCCCAGATTCTGGTGGACTTGGGAGTGTTGAACAACGGAGAAGGTGAGTACCCGCACAAGGCTAGTATAGGAAAACTGCTAACGAGTGTAGTCCATGTCAAACCGCTGTCGGCTCTCTGTGATCTGCCGGAAGACCAACTCCGTGCGACCGTTGAGTCAACGATCGGCAATGTGCTCGTTGTCGACGTCGACACCGATCGCCAGGAGCGCCCGACCGTGCCGGACGCGGTCGTCGACATCCTCGCAGCGCCGCGCGACAATCACTGCACCATCCTGGTCGGCACGCACGACAGCATCAGCCAGTTCCTGCATCGCGCGGGTCCTAAAGCCCGCGGGTTTGAGACACATCTGGTGCGCTTCTCTGCGCTGACGCGCGAGCACATGGAGGAGCTCTTCCAGAGCAAACTCGACGAGCAGGATCTCGATGCCACCCCGGAGGCCTTCCAGGCCGCCATGGACACCCTCGACAATGCCCGTATGCGCAAGGACTTTGACAATGCTCGCGCCGTCGAGCATCTCCTCGCTGCGGCCATCTATCACTTTGAGCGTCGGTCGCGCACCGGCGCCAGCGCCCAGCCGGTGGAACGTCTCCTCGAGGGACGCGACTTTAACCCGGAGCTGGTGGGCGGCACGACGGCGCTGGTCTTCCGTGAGGAGCTGCGCCACTCCATCGTGCCGGACGACATCATCTCCATCTTGAAGCGGTATCACAATGAGATGAAGGCCGCCTGGCTGCAGGGGCTGGATCCGGGCGCACGCATGCCCGCTGCGTTTGTGTTCAAGGGTGCACCAGGTAATACCTTCCGTCCCGTCAATTTCTATACCAATAACTAACCTTTTCCATAGGCACTGGTAAAAAGACCGTCGCCCGCCAGTTAGGCACTCTGTACTACAAAATGGGCGCTCTCAGCGACGGAGCCCTGGTGCCATGCTCGGTCGCCGACCTACTATCACCCAATGTCCACCCGACCTCGGTGCGGTCCCGGTCGCAACTCGACCAAAACAAGGGCAAGGTGCTCTTCATCGAAGACGCCCACCGACTAGCCGACACCGACACCACGCAGGCCGTGGACGAGCTAGTCTACCTGCTGCCCAAGTACGCCTCCACCATGGTGGTGATCCTGGCCGGACCGGCCCAGGAAATGGACCAGTTGCTGGCCAACCGGCCACGCCTGTCCGCCCTGTTTCAGGAAGAGATTGTCTTCCGCAACCCGACGCCACGCGAATGTCTCCGTCTGCTGGATCGCAAGCTGGATGAGCAGCAGATTAAGGGTCCCCGGTTGTACCTGACGGACCCGCGCGCGCCTAGCCATCGCGAGTTCACCCGCGCCATCCAGATCCTGTCCATGTTCCCTTGCTGGAGCAATGCTCGGGATGTGGAGGTGTTGGTGCGCTGGATGGTCGCGGCGTGTATCAAGGATCTGCCGCTGGATAATAGCAGCAGTGTCAGTGCACTGCCGGCGATGCAGTTGTCCGAGGAGCAGGCGATGAGTTGCATGGTCAGGCTCTTTAATCTGAAGCGTGATCGCTTGAGATTCAACCAGGATCCTAAGGCCAGGGCCTTGCCTAGGGTGTTGTCGCAGCCTAGGTGTACGGATCGCACCGGGGTGAAGTTCCCTGTTTGATTTGATGACTTCATGTGATTTGTTTGGCTTTTCGCGATGTTTCTTATGTGATATGCTTGGTGGATTATGTATTGTATCAGACTGACGATATAGCGTGTCCTTCTTGTTGTGTTTGTGTTTGATTCTGGTTTATGTCTTATGTTGCATTGCATCTGCATCTGACCCTCGTCACTCATTGAACTCTCCTTTGTTTTGTGCTTTTTGCATGGATGTTTGGCATGTATGGTGCATCAGACGGAATACTGAACGTCGTGGTGGTGACATTGACTAGATACTTAATATAAGGCTGGTCCTATCAAGACTACTATGTGAACTTAATAGCGTAGAATGCTTTCTACTTCATTATATCATCTATTGATCTGACCTTGTCGCTGATGCAATTTCTACATCTTTACATTGTCTGTATTAGTAACTTAACAAATATAGCAGGTAGAATATCAACACGCGTCTGAATCACCCATCTATGAATCTACTTGCCCAAAGCCAGATACTCCCCAACCCACTGCGCCGCCCCCGATCCTTCTTCCTCACTCCATCCCCACACCCCCTTTGCCCCAACATACCCATCCGGCCTGACAACCATCACCCCGACCTGATCCCTCTCCATCTCCCCCATCCACTTCCCAGTACAGCCTTCTCCACCCTCCACATCATCCAAATACACCGTCCACCGACTCTTCTGCAGCAACTCGGGCAAATCCCCCAACTCAAACTCCCTCTTTTGGCTCCTCGTCACTAACCCGTACGTCACCACCTCCGAAACAAGTGTATACCTCTCCAACGAGAAATACTTGTCCCCATCACTAACCCCCCGAGGACACTTCTTATACGACTCCCTTGCCACAGAATCCACCCTATCAAGCCCAACACCCCCACAGAACCCCTTCAAAAATCCCTTCCCATCGACCACATTCCCTACAAACAAAACCACCCTAAACTGTCCCATCATCGGGATATCAAGTTGCAAATCCACCAAATTCGCATCAATATACCTCGTCAACTTCGCAGGACGAGTTAATGTGCCCGCCTGAATTCCACCTTTCACTTTCCCACCAGCTGACTTTGTGAGAACTCCAGTATCATATTCAGCCCCGACGCCGGAAATAAACCGGATATTCTCCTCGAAGTTTCGAGCAAGTGCCGCCTCGCCTTTCTCGAAGGCCGCGACGTGCCCTGCATCGAAGGCAATTAGGTCGTTGGCGATCTTTCGTCGTTCCTCGGAGTAGGTGTTTAGTAGGGAGGCTGGGGCGAGGTTTCGGGCTACGAGGTTCAGTTTCCACGCTAGGTTCACGCTGTCGTGCATGCTGGTGTTGGCGCCTTGGGCTGCGAGGGCGGAGTGTACGTGGCCGGCCTGGTTGTTTATTAGTATATTGGTGGGAAAAGGTAGATGGTAGGGGAGGGGTGGGATGTACATCTCCTGCAATAAAGATTTGGTTTTCGGGATCGCTGAATCGCCGAGCGACGCGTTGGCCGACGACGTAGTTGCCGAACCATTCTATAACATGTTAACATGACGTTCGGCATAGGGTAGGGTGATATGGGAGTATGGGGCAGAGAATACCAATTTCCTTCCATTCCAACCGGAAAGGTTGCATCGCCTCTCGCGCCCGAGCCATGACATACTCTGGCGTCGCCTTGGCCCTATCGACCCTCTCCCCGTCCGTGGAACTAAGTTCAACATACAGTCTCGTCATACCACGCTCCCTAGGAATCCAGAGAATAGATCCCGCCGTGTGCGAGCGAACAGCCACCTTACTCCATAGGTCGGGGAAGTCGGTGTCGATGACTCCTGTTACCAATTAGTACTTCCGATCATCAAGCTAGAGACAAATGAAACAGAAAAATTACCATCTAACACCCCCCAAGAAGCATTACTCATTTCCCCCTCCAACTGCGCGCCGGGAATAAAGTCCCGCACTTTAGATCTCGCGCCATCACATCCAACAAGATATTTTGTACGGATAAACTTCTTCGTGTTTGTTGTATTGTCGTCGTAGATCACTTCTAGCTCTCCACTCCCGTCCTGTGTTTTCGACACAGACACGAATGGGCTGTTTCGCTGGACATATCCCCCGCGCTCTTCTATGTCTTTGATAAGCACGTTTTCGAGCATGCCCTGGTGCGCGAGGAGAATGTAGGGGTCTGATGCGCCGACGAGGTGATCGGGGTAGTGCGTTTGGCGGGATGTGCGGGTGAGGGTTGGGGAGTGAGTGGTGGATTCCTAAGTTATTATTGCCATTAGTATTATTCATATTTTGGGGGTGGTAATGTGCAGGATAGGGATAGGGATACCCAGAAACAAATATCATACACCTTGGCTCCATTGCGGAGCAACTCATCCGATAGCCTCAGCTGTTTCAGCGTCTCGATGGTCTTCGGCTGCAGACCGTCGGCTTTGCCGGTTGATGTTGCTGTCGGGCGGTCGTCGAGGAGAGTCACGGGTGTGCCGTAGCGGATGAGGTTGTTTCTATCCCATGCACAATGGTTAGTTGGGGGTATATTTTTTTGGTGGGGATGGTGAGTGGGGGAGGTACGTTAGCATTAGGCCTGAGGGGCCAGCGCCTACTACCACCACTGTTGTGGTGGGTATGGTGGACGGGCTGGGAAAGCCCCCGTTGATGGCGCTGGGGGACATTGTTTGAGACGATAATTTTGTTTGGAATGGTGATGCTACGCTCATACTTTGCTTCTGGATGAGTATTGTTATAGTTGGTAGCTAGTCGGTGATGGGGTTCGGAGCGATCGCCGACTGAGCTGATAACCCCACTTTTGGGCGTGGATACAGTGGTAGCTTATGCGGGGATAGCTACCCTTTTGATAGATTGCTTTGATTATGATTATGACTGATTGCGTGATAGGATGTATTATCAGTCTGTATTGATTGCCTAATTGTTAAACTGCATTTATGATAATGCTACCACTTAGTCACCCCCCCATCCACAATCACATCCTGCCCCGTCATGTACGAACTGGCATCGCTCGCCAGAAACACACATGCCCCCATGATGTCCTCCGGCTCGGCGATGCGGCCGTTCATTGCTGCTGATTTCCATTCTTCGATCAAATGGGGGAACTGTCATCACTTTTATTAGGAAATTCCAATCACTGGGAGATAAAATGGAACTCACAGCAGCAGTCATCTCCGTCCTCACATACCCCGGCGAGATCGAATTCACGCGAATACCCTACCATCGTCAGCCATCTCTCACCTGTATGAACGCCACCAAAAGAGCAGGGACATACATATTCAGCCAATTCCTTCGCAATAGCAGGACACATCGCCCTCACCGCCCCCTTACTCCCACAATACGCACTGCACAGCTGGCTCCGTACCGCCACGTGGCTCGCCATACTCGCCACCAGCACGATACTCCCGTGTTTTGTGCCATTGGCAATCATCTGCCGTGCCGCCAGCTGGGCCGTATGGAATAGGCCTAGCACATTCACACCCAGCAGCTCTTGATGGTCGGCGTAGTTGAATTCAAGGAATGTCTGGTGTCGGTTGATACCTGCGCAGGGGACGCAGATGTCTAGTTTATTGTTGAAGTCTGTTTGAAAGGCGCCAAAGCCGGTGGCGAGGGACTCGGGGGAGGATACGTCCACTCTGCAGCGATCTGTTAGGGTCTGTGGTGTGAGGTGCAGAACTCAGAGGATCGGAGGAATACTCGTAATATGCAGTCCGCACACCATACTCCTTTTCGATAGATAGAAATCCCTCCTCAGGAGGTATCCGATCGAAGATGGCTACGTTGGCGCCTGCTTCGGCGAGACCGCGCGCAAAGGCAAGGCCGCAGCCCCGGGCACCGCCGGTGACGAGGGCAGTTCGACCTTGGAGGGAGAACTGAGCTGTTAGTTTTGTTAGAAATTGTCCTGAGGGGATCGACTCACTCGAGACATAATGGACGTAATACTGGGATGGATCTGCTGGCGATTGCTGGAAGCTGTTTGCCCCGACCGCAGGGTGTACTTATTCTCCCCGCAAATGATATGATAAGATTGATGCATCCCCTCATGCCCGACCCCCATTCTTGTCAGGCACATGCTTATCCCCCATTTTAGGTGCAGAAGAAACCACTCAGCTGGAGCTAGAACTGGCTTTATATCATGGCGTAGAGCGTATCCACTGGAACGTCCACCACTTACTGTTGTATACAGGATTGATACCATGGCGCCCCCTATCCACATCAAAGAGAAGCGCTCCCTCCCCGACAACTGTCGGTTGCAGGTACATCCCACTTCCCCCGTACATCAAATTACTCTATCCAAGCTAACGACGAAAGATCATCATCATCGGCGCCGGTCTCGCCGGCCTCGGCACCGCCATCTCGTGCCTCCTCGCCGGACACGACGTACACGTCCTCGAAGCGACGCACGAGATCCGTGAAGTAGGCGCCGGTATCCAAGTCCTCCCGAACAGCTCCAGAGTGCTCAAACACTGGGGTCTAGAACCAGCTCTCACACCACACATGACACACCCGCGCGTCTGCAACTTTCTACACTGGAAGGGCGAGATCATATCTAGCTTGAGTTTCGTTGACTCGGCGAAGCAGTACCCGGGCACGTGGTATCGCGATTTTCACCGCGCGGATTTACAGCGCTGTTTGCTGGAAAGAGCGGAGGAGTTAGGAGCGAAGATTACCTGCGCTGCTAGGGTTGTAGATATCCTTCCAGATGAGGACGGGGCCATGGCGACGGCGGTGGCGAGTGATGGACGCTCGTGGAGGGGGGATCTGGTTGTTAGTGCTGATGGAGTGTTTGGGAAGTTGACGGAGGTTATGTTGAAGAGGCCTGATCCGCCGATTAAAACCGGGGATTTGGCGTATCGGTTGTTGTTGTCCACGGAGGAGATGTTGAAGGATCCGGAGTTGAGGGGCTTTGTGACTGATCCTCAGGTTAATTATTGGTTGGGGCCGGATAAACATGCTGGTTTGTATGCCTTTTGTTCATTGATGAGTGGGGGGCTAATGAGGGTAGTGAATTATGTCCTACGACAAGGGGAACTGTTCAATATGGTGCTGCTTGTGCCTGATGATATTCCGGAGGAGTCGTTGGCTTCGACGGTCGAGGGCAATGTGCAGGAAATGTGTGCGTTGTTCGAGGGATGGGATCCAAGGTATCACTCTGTCACTACTTTCTATTGATGGTGATACTAATTTGCAGGATTCAAAAACTTCTCAAGCTCTGCCAATCGGTGCACAAGTGGCGTCTCTGCATCCGCTTCGGCGACTACGACTGGACGCATCCTTCCGGGGCATGGGTGATGCTAGGCGACTCTGTGCATGCTACACTGCCTTATCTTGCTTCTGGGTATTTCCTCCATATAAAAAGCTACAAAATGGCAAGAATACTGACCTGGTTACAGTGCAGGAATGGCCTTCGAGGACGGCGCCGTCCTCGGCGAATGCCTGTCTCGTCTCCCATCGGGCCCTAACGTCTCAAAATCCTCAGCTGAGTTCATCGCCGCTAAGCGTCACGCTCTTGCCGTATTCGAGAAATGTCGGAAGCAGCGCACGCAAATGGTCGTGGAACGGGGTAATACACAACAGTATCTGTATCATTTGCATGATGGGCCAGAGCAGGAGGAGCGCGATCGGAAGATGCGCATGGTGCCTACGCCCGAAGGGGAGGCGCTGGCGTGGAGGGATCCGGGGTTGGCGCCGAAGTTGTTAGGATATGATCATATTGCGGATGTAAGTGCTTCTAAACGTACGTAACTTGGGAGGCAGTGCTAATGGTATTCAGGTGGATGCAAACTGGGAAACAGTGGGCGAAAAGATGGAGGTAGAGGTAGCGAGGTTGTGAGTACTGCATAAGAGTTGAGTTTTTTGCTCTAGCTGAAGGGATGGCAGACATTAGAGGCTATAAGGATACTTGTGGAAATGACGTGTATACTTTACTACTGGAATACAATATCATATTTCTATATTGGGGATGCAAAGATGTGGACTTGAGACTTGTTAACGCATTCAACAACTCTTGGTACTATTTTCGTGTTAGTACCCATTGATGAGAAAATTTTTCGGAAGTACCTGTCTAAACTTGATACCTTAAAGACGCTACTGCCACACCAGCCAGGCTTTCTCCACACCGGCCTTCGCTTACCTTATAAACTAAGGTTTCATTCATTGAAGATAAGGCTTGGTCTTTCAAACAGGCAGAATCCTACCGTCTGCTATTTTAGATTTGTTCCTGAGGCTTGAATTCAGCACCTCAGGCAAGTAAACTACCGTATGGAGATGGTGGAAAGTATGAAAAAGGCTACACCCTAAAGGGAACAGACATTGCCTTCTAAGGTAGACGGAGGGTGTGGCATGAGCGAAGGCCGCTATGGAGGAAGCCTGGCTGGTGTGGTAGTAGCGCCTCCCCTTATATATCCACTGGAATAGTGCCTTCTTCAGATGTGATTTTTGAGAAGACGGAGTACTCTCCATAAACTGTTTATATCTAGTATGATGCACATCTCGACAGATCTACACCTCATCATGCAACAGCAACAAAGAACCCCTTCTCTCCCTCCTTCCTCTTCACCTCTGCCTTCTTCACCAAGCCATCTCCCACCGCCAGCCTCAACTTCTCCGCCGTAGCCGGACTATCCAGCACCAACGGCCCTTGCACACCGAAGTCCGCTCTCGCACTCTTCAACGCCTCCCTCAAGGCAAACAACACCGACGACCCCATGAACAGCGGCGGCTCTCCGATACCCTTGCTGCTCTGAATTGAGCGCAGATGACTCCACGACACACCCTGCAGGAAACTGACATTGAACTCCTGCGGGATATCACTGAACCCAGGAATCTTATACGTGCCCGGTCCCCGTGTCGCCAGCTGGCCTCCTTGCGTCCAGAGAGTCTCCTCCATCGTAAACAGTCCCTGTCCCTGAACAAACGCACCCTCAATCTGCCCATAGTCAATAGCAGGGTTAATGGACCTTCCCACGTCCATCTTAATATCCGTGCGTAGCACAGTATGATCACCCGTAAGCAGATCAAGCTCGACCTCGGTGCACGCGACGCCCTATGACCCATTAGCATACCATCACCAACACAATTACTTCCAAAGAAGAAGGCAAACATACCTGCGTAAAATAATAATACATCGGCTTCACCTTCTCCATATCATACGTTCCCCACTGATAACCCACCTTAGGCATCTTCCAAAACCCACTCGCCGCCAGATTGACCCGATCGCGATACGCCGCGTGCGCCATCGTCGCCATATCAGCATCCTTGCCGAACTTCTCCCGATATGGCTTCAGTCGCTCATTCAACTGGTCGCACGCATCCTTAACCGCCATTCCATTTAAATCACTTCCCGACGAGGCAGCAGTCGGAGACGCATTCGCTGTCTGGTACGACGAGCTGTCCTGCGTGTAGACGCTCTCAGCCGGAACACCCAGTTCCTGCGCCGCGACCTGCACCATCTTCGTATACAGGCCCTGGCCCATCTCGGTTCCACCATGGTTGAGAAGTACTGAGCCATCGGTGTAGATTTTGACGTTCGCGCCGGCTTGGTTGAGATGGACTGCAGTCGCGAAGGAGATGCCGAATTTCGTTGGGATCATGGATATCCCTCGCTTTCTGTAGCGGTGGCGTTTATTGAACTCTGCTATCTCGGCCTTGCGCTCTGCGTACCGCGCCTCCTTCTTAACCTGTTCCAGCAGCATAGGAACGTGCCAGTCCTGGTCGATCTCCTGCAGGAATGGCGTTCTCTGCCCCTGAGTATACAGATTCTTCATCCGCAACTCATCAATATCCATCCCCAACCCCTCCGCAACAGCAGACATGTAACTCTCCGCAATGAACATGGCCTGTGGCCCACCGAATCCACGGAATGCAGTATTACTATGCGTGTTCGTCTTGCACACCCACCCGCGGATATGCGCATGCGGGAAGTAATAGCAGTTCTCGATGTGGGTGCAGCACCGGTCCATCACGGCACCGCTCATGTCCAAAGAGAATCCCGCGTTGTTGTAGACATCTGCGTCGAGGGCGACAAGTTTCCCGTCGTTCATGACACCTACCTTCCAGCGGCATTGGAAGGGGTGACGCTGGCCAGAAGTGATCATGTCTTCGTCGCGGTTGAGCATAGCGCGCATCGGGCGCTTGGTCTTCTTAGCTGCGATGGCTAGTAGACAGGCGAGTTGCACGCTGCGGGATTCCTTGCCGCCAAAGGCGCCGCCCATGCGTTTCACTCGTGCGTTGATGCGCGACGCTGGGACGGAGGTCACCTGGCTGACGTACTCTTGGGTTTCCATCCTAATTCAGCCATTAGCATTATCCCGTGATAGGTATAGGGAAGGACATACGTATTCTGGGTCGACGACCAGACCTCCATACTCCCGTCCTCCGAATGAGGAATAACGACCGCAGCATTCGTCTCCAGATAAAAGTGCTCCTGTCCACCCATACGGATAACACCCTCGAAGACCCGATCACACTGGTCAAAAACATCCTTCATCTTCTCTGGTGTCACAGCCACCCCTTTTCTTAACTGCTTCCCATGAGGCCAGTAGCTCCCCTTCTCAATCGCTTCATCAATCGTAAGTATCGTCTCCAAATCTTCATATTCTACCTTCACTGCCCTCGCCGCCATCTGCGCCTGCAGCGCCGTCTCCGCGTACACCAGCCCAATCGGCTGCCCGTGCGCCGTCACCTCATCCACCGCGAAGAACTGCTCGTTCTTCACCACTGGTCCCCAGATGTTCTTCTCCGCCGGGATACTGGTATGGTCTATGTACCCCAGGGCCAAGCCCGGCTGCAACACGGGCGTCCAGTCCACGGAGAGGAGCTTGGCGTGGGCGCGCTGCGATAACACCATCGCGCCGAAGAGTTCCCGGTGCTGCGGGGGCATGTCATCGACGTATTCGGCTTCGCCGGTGGCGTGCTTCAGACCGGATAGGTGGGGGAGCTGTTTGCCGACAACGCGTTGTTCGTGCGGGTTGTGGTTGTCGCGCGTGCCGTGAGAGATGTTGCGGTGAATTTCGGTCGCGATGGAGGGGTCGGCGGCTGTGGAGGTGAGGTTGAAGTCGGAGATGACTTCGTGCCAGAAGCGGAAGAAGAGAGATGTGGCCAGGGTGCGCCGGTAGTGTGCCATTCCACCAGGGACAGAGTAGGGGAGGTTGAAGTCCTCGAGGAGGGCGTCAAGCGTGCTGTCTAGAACGGCTTGCACGCCCCATTTCTTGCCCTGTAGGACGGCCATGGCCTGTTTGGCTAGGAGGGTCGTTGGAGCCATGCCACCGTAGGCAAGGGCGATTTCGCTCACGGTGTTGTCTGGGGCGAGGCGCACGCGGAAGGCGGCGGTCACGATGGCGATATCGTCGTCTTTGCGCTTGGCTTGTTTGTAGGACTTGGTGAGTTCGCGGGTCCCCGGCGGTGGGAGGGGAATGCGGATCGAGGTGATGATGCTGTCTTTGGGGAGGGCGGTCTTGCGGTAGCCTAGGAACATGTTGGCCATGGGGATAGTGGTTTCCTGGGTTGAGGTGCGCGCGACGATGGTGGCGTTGATGGCTAAGAGCACTGGGTTCATGTCCGAGATGGGCGACGCCGTGGCGATGTTTCCGGCTAGTGAAGCCGCGTTGCGGATCTGGCGTCCTGCAAAGTAGCGCAAGACTTTGGATGTGGCTGAGAGGACGGAGGCTCGGTCCCCTAGGTCTGGGATGAGTCGGTTGCATTCGGTTTCGATGTCGCTGAGGGGTGTGTTGCCGCCGATGATGAGTTCCGTGATGGTGCCGTCTTTCTCAACGGGTTTGATGTATGACAGCTCGTCCAGATCCCCGATGAAGACAGATACGGCGAACTCGGCGCCCTTGAAGCGAATGTCGACTTGGACCTCACTGGCACCACCAACAAGAGTGGCCGATGGGCAGCGGGCGAGAATGTCCAAGGTTTGGGCGAGTGTCACCGGACGCAGCCAGGCCTTGCGGTCGTCAGTGTAGCAGACGAGCTGCGGAGTGGCCTTGGTCAGGGCCGGAGGGTAAATGAGCTCGGTGTTCGGAATGTACGGCTTGAAGTCAAATTGTGGTACGGTGTTGTTGGCCAGGTCCTTCTCTGGCTCTGTATCTGGGGTCGAAATACTGGTGCGACTGCTGTCTCGATCCGAAGAAGACGAGCAAGACGACCCAGGAGTATCACGACAGCATCCGCCTGGACGCCCACAGGACTGCGGCCGCGATGTATCCGATTCAGACTCAATCGGAGTTTCCATGTCTGAAGGTCGCGTGCGCACAGCCAGCCGGGCCTGGAGATCCTCCTGGACAAACGTCTTGGCTGCCTGCAAAATGGGCTTGTATCCGGTGCACCGACACAGATTGCCATCCAGGTGGCCCTTCATTTCAATATCATCCTCTGTCAGATTGAATTGTCCAGTCTTGGGATCGTATGCATTTCGCACGAGCGCATATAGCGACATAACTATACCCGGGGTACAGAAACCACACCTATCCTATCAGCATTGCTCATACATCGACCACGGTCAACTTACTGCGACCCATGGAGCTTCCCCAGCCTTTCCTGAAGCGGATGGGGGTGATCCACGTTCCCCAGTCCTTCAACGGTGATGACATGCTTGCCGGCCACTGCGGCTGTCAGATGCGGTCGCACCCATGGAACCAACACACGTACCTCCAATCAGCGGATACAAACAGGCATTCACGGCGCGATGGCGAATCTGGGCGCGCCCGTCGCGGGTCTGCAGCACGACCGTGCAAGCACCGCACCCACCTTCGCCGCAGCCCAGCTTGGTGCCCTTCAGGCCATGCTGGGAGCGGATGAAGTCGAGGAGGGTCCAGTGGGGGTTAGGGTTGGCGAGGACGATGGGGGTGCCGTTTAGGTAGAAGGAGAGATTAGGGGTGGAGGCAGCGGTGGTGAGGAAGTCTTGCAGTGCGGTAGGAAGAACCATGATGATACTAGACTGGCATAATTACAATGCAGATAAGGAGAAGAGAATGAGAGAACAATGGCAAGCACATTGTTGGAGAGGTTCAAGGGATGAAAATTGCACTGCGAGGGGCACTGTGCACGTGCAGCTGGGCCTCAAGGGCATCCATCAGGCCCCATTCTTCTTACCCAGAGTTGAGG